TCAGCTTAGTTGCCGTTCTCTGAACCTTTTCCAGAAGCTCACTGTCTTTTTTAAAGCAGGGGCTGGCCGCTTGTATGCAGTACTCAAGTTTAGGACGTACGAACACTATATAAAGTCAAAAACGTCTTAGCGTCGACATGACTAAAAGCCCTACGTATTGACCATAACGTTCTAAAACCTTTGACGGCTATTGCACGGCAGTGTGCAGTAGTCTTTAAGTCTTGGCTAACAATGACTCCTAAGTCATTATATATCTGGACGACAGGTAGCTCAGTGTTATTAATCGTGTATGTATCTGTACCTTGATGACCGATATGCATCACAACACACTTGGAAGTATTTATCGGCAACTGCCAGGTTTGAGACCATTCAGATAATTTCTTCAGGTCATTTTGGAGTTCTAAGCTATCATCCTCACATCGTATCGTTCTCCATATCTTGACATCGTCAGCATATAGCAAGACCGATGGTGATAGGAGACGAGGAAGGTCATTTACATACAAGAGAAATAGCGCTGGCCCCAAAACTTTACCCTGGGGCATTCCACTAAGCACAGTTCCCCAGCTAGATAACATTGATTTCACCCGAACTCCTTGTTGACGCCCAACTAAGAAGTACCTGCTTTGAAGACAGGACTTACTATGGCGTTTTTCCAGTCTTTGGGTAAACGACCCTGCGTTACGGATAGGGTTCGCAACGAAATTAGATAATTCCTTCAGTAGCCTAGGATGTAATTCATCGGGCCCCGTGGATTTACCTATGTCAAGCTTATTTAGTAGACCAAAGACATCGAGTTCTTTAATGGTCACGCTATCCAGTGTATGTGTGGGGGATCTGTATGCGCTGATGGGATGGGTGCTTCTATGGTCTATACATTGCCAAAGTAGTTTGAGAACACTTGAGCCTTACCAAAGTCGTCCTCCACTAGTGATGCGGCAATACTGTCTCCCCATAGAGCAGCAATATTTCCTCTTCTCTTTGTCCTTTGGTTTATATAAGAATGCAAGCGTTTAGGACATTCTATGGATTCCTTAACAATCTTTTCTTCCTACAACTTTCTAGACTTACGGAGGGTCGAGGCACAGGTATTCCGAACTCGCCTACGCCATAAATGACGCAAGTTGGTAAAAGCAAGTCGAGCCTTCTGTATCCGTGTTGAGACTTCGTCACATACCAGACCACGAGAGCTGATGAGACTTCCAAGATAAGTGAATCGGTCGACACACTCAACTACTTCACTCCCTATCATTAGTTCGGGTGTCGATGCAACCTAATCGTGAAGCAACATTTTGCATTTTGAGGGGGAGAATCGCATGCCGAACATGCCTGTATTGTTGCTTAGAGTGGTCAGAAGACTGCATTTTGTCAGCGTCTTCGCCAAATAAAACTATGTCATCAGCATATTCTAAGTCAACAAGTGAACCTCCCGGTAGAAGTTCAACCCCTGGAAATTTAGATGAGGAGAGTGGACAGCCCTGACGAACACTACTTGAGGTAATCAATTCTGATGACAGTTCGCCATAAGCTCTCACTCTACCAGTTGTGTTCGAGTAGAGAGCCTGTATAAGGTTAATGTAGTTCTTTGGTACTCCTTTCAGTGACAAACACTGCCATAGAACCTCACGATCAACAGAGTCGAATGCCGCCTTAAGGTCGAGAAATAATACGATTGTGGGGCGTCTGAATGTGTGTCTGTGTTCTAGAACCTGACGTAGTGTGAATATCTGATCTATACAACCACGTCCAGGTCGAAATCCGGCCTGATTTTCTCTAATCTACTCTTCACGAGCTTTGATTAGGCGTCGAAGTATTATTGAAGCCAATATTTTAGACACTATATTAGTCAAACTGATTCCTTTGTGATTGTCACAAGAGGACTTTTGTCCTTTCTTAAAAACTGGCACAATCAGTGACTGAGATCAGTCAGATGGGATTACGTCCAGTTCCCAAATTCTACCTAAGACCTCGGTTAATCTCATTGCTAATACTGAACCACCATCCTTAAAAATCTCGGGAGTAAACCTGTCAGGGCCTGCTGCTCTCCCTCACTTCAGATTTCCTATGGCTTTTTTAACTTCGTAAAGGGACGGAGGATCTACATTAACTTGCCATTCAGGTTGACTAGAGATCGTGGGAAACCGAAGTGTGGCTGAAGACCAGTTGAACTGACCCCTAAAGTGTTCTGCCCATCGATCCAATCTCCTGGATTGAGAATGAATAATATGTCCATCTTTCTCTGAGATTGTTTCGCTAACGGTCGGGTTCCTAATACAGGTTTCCTTAACGAGTCTGAACAATTGTCTGCTGTTACCTATTGCCGCTGCCTTTTCCATCTCTCTTGCTTTCGCTACCCACCACTGTTCGCGATCATTGCGTAGACTTTTTGTCAGCTTGCGCTTAAGCTGACTCCGCTCTTCATTATGTTCAGAGCCAGGTGGAATGAGTTTCCGAGTATCTATCAGTGCGATAGATGCTGCTGAGATCCAGTGTTGCTCCCTAACCTTGTGGTTTACCTTACTAGCAGATATCACTGCTGTTTCCACAGCTTTTCGGATATCATTTCATGCTGCCTCAGGGTGGGCATCACATACATGGCTGCCTAACTGTTTTCCTAGTTGTTCCTGAAATATACTCTTAGCTTGGCTATCATTAAGTAGGCCCCTAAGAGGTTTCCTTGCAGCGTCTTTCCTACGTCCAATAAGACGCAGACAGATACGCGCTCGTACTAGAGCATGATCTGAATCTAAGCATGTGCTCCAGAATGAGCGACAGTCTTCTATCGAGCCCCTCCATCGGTGGCTGATAGCGATGTGATCTATTTGGTTCCAACGTTGGGACGAATTAGGGGGTCGCCATGTTAAAAGATGTTTTTCCTTATGCTTACAGTTAGTATTTGCAAGGAACAGGCGGTTATCTGAGCATAGCTGCAACAGACGGTCGCCATTATCTGTTCTTTGAGCCACGATGCTATAAGATCCGTCCAGGTGTCTTTCCCTATCGCTTAATTTACCTACTTGAGCATTAAAGTCACCGGCCACTATTACTACATCCGAGCGCTTAGCTTTTCGGAGAAGGTCCGAAAGCTTTCTGTAAAACTCATCTTTTACATCATCTGAGCTGCAGTCAGTGGGAGAATAGGCTGAGACGACGAAGAGGCAACGACGAGTGTCCCTATCTTTTCGGATCCTCATTGTTCCATTCAGTCGGACAGCGCACAAACGACTGTCTACTGGGATCCACTCTAAGAGAGCTAGTTCTGCCCTAGGACTCAATGCTATACCTACGCCGGCGAGGCCACGGGAAGCAGAATCAGGGCTTCCAGATACACGAAGCGTAAATCGAGTCGGTTCTTTATTTTGGCATGGTGATGTCAAATGAATGACGCTACTTGGATCCTGTATGCGCGTTTCGGAGACGCAGCACATATCGATGGCGCGGTACTCTAAAGTCCTAGCTAAGGAAGCCTGCTGTCCTATTTGGCAGAGTGTTCGTACGTTAAAAGCTCCTACGTGTAGTTTAGAGCGCGGTTTCAGGAGACCAGGAATAGCGTTCCACGTACTCGAATCGTTTGCTCTGGCGGTGCGAGGTGATAAAGAGACGTGAGGAGGGTTAGTCATGGAGATAAAAGAGGTATTAGGAGGTGTAGGAAGGATTTGAATGTGACCAACTTGGTCTCGTGTGCTGTTACGGGTATGAGGGCTGATGTCACTTCCCGGCTGCCCACACCGTGGAAGGGTATTTCTTGAGGAACCTGAAAAAAAGTCGGATTAATGTCGGCCTTAACGACCTGGGAGCGTGACCACAGAGCCCAGGGGACAACTGTTTGAGGCCGGTCGCGCACGGCCTTTTTGTGGAAGGTTTTTGACCTGTTAGCTCCGTTCTTCAAAGGGCCTGACCGCCGGAGACGGAAATCCGTGAGGTAAGGTGAGGTGTGACATTTTTAGGGTCGACCTTTTCTAACCCCACCCCTCCTTGTGGGAAGGCAGCATCGCTGTCATGCTGGTTGTCTGAGGGAAACACCTTACTGTTGTCACACCTCTCTACAGTCAGCAGTACGACTTCGCCCTCAGACCTTGAGTTGCTGCTTTTAGTCTTACCGTTCACCAATCGACCTGCCTGGCATGGTAGAACCTACAGAAACATATGTTCCAACCAATATAGCTCGGTTGGGTCATCACGATAGGCAAGCCCGACCACCGCGTCAAGGTAGCAGCTTCGTTCGGGTCGAAAAGTTCGTGTATCTGGGTAGCTGCATAAGTGCTGGTGGGGGTGTGAGCGGTGAGATCAATGCACGTATAGTGAAAGCCAGAGCGGCTTATGCCAATCTGAGCCACCTTTGGCGCCATCGTGATGTTAGTCTGGCTGTAAAAGGTCGGATCTACAACGCGTCGGTGAGAGCAGTTTTGCTCTATGCTTGTGAAACCTGGTCTCTCCGAGTTGAGGACGTTAGACGACTATCTGTGTTCGACCATCGCTGTCTCCGAAGGATTGCTGACATTCAGTGGCAACACCATGTCAGTAATGCAGAGGTTCGGCATCGTGTGTTCGGGCACAGAGATGATAATGCAATTGGTGTCACCATCTTGAAACACCGACTTCGGTGGCTTGGACATGTTCTCCGAATGTCGTCCCAGAGGATTCCACGTCGTGCATTATTTGACGACTCTGGGACTGGTTGGAAGAAGCGGAGAGGTGGTCAGTGCATGACATGGTGTCGTGGTATGAAAGAAACCTGCAAAGGACTGGCTTGTGTTGGTCCTTCACGACTCCTTGGTTGGGGTCCGAGAGATGGTGCAACACAGTGGCTAGAGACGTTATCATATATGGCTCAGAATAGAAGCCAGTGGCGATCCTGCTGTAACCTTTTACTTTCTTCATAAAAGTGGTTGTGTCTCCCTTACCTGAAAGATTTGTTCTGATTGTACCTTTCCGTTCCCTGATTATGACTATTATTATTACTACACTCCCTTACATCAATCTCTTCATTATTGGCTTTTTTTATTAATTTTTATTTACGTTCCTCATTTTTTTTCTTCCTAAATTCTCATTGTTCTGTGTGGCGCATATATATTTGGCGCACTCCTGTACCAATATATATGTGTTCAAATAAATAAACACTGTCCGGTCATTTAAAAGGAGTCCTTTTCAAAGAGGAACGAGATGCGATGATACTCAGAAACAAAAATTAATCAATGACCAAAAAGTGAAGAACTGTAGATTGTTAGGACCAAAAGTGCTAACTAGTTGTAAGCTTGGTGATTGGCTAGATCATACTGTAATGAAGTATTTTACGTCTTTGAATTAAACTTTAGTTGTAACGTTATTTTGCACTGACTCTCCTATTCTGCCCATATTCATGTTTATCTCGTTAGCTTCCACTTCCTCTTTAGTCTGAAGTATGGTGGGTTTCAAATTGAAGCTGAAAATGAAAATTTACATCAGGATGTCACGAAGATGTCAATGAATCGAAATCGTAACATAAACATTAGTGGGAACCAAATTTTAAGAAATGTAATGTACAATAACGAGTGACAGCAGAAAGTAATGGGCATTTGCTAATATTAGAACTGAAGATGTGAAGGTAAACAATCAATGAATGCATTTGGGCCAAATTACGTAAAGTTTTTGACTCCCAAGTACCTACGGATAAATCCATACCACCTTATCTAAGGCCATGTCTTATCCTGACTTCACCTCTTGTTAACGGACTTTCTTTATTTTCAAGGTTTAAATGCATACAACAAATATCTAAATGCCTTTCATAGTACTTAACCTACTCTCTTACCTACCATTTTGATCTAGCAATCCGAAACGTCGAAGATCCAATGTAGAATTTTTGGATCTAAAAAACATTATTGAATCTCCACCTATGGATCTCGATGCTGATCAGAATATCAGAAAGTCAAAAAGACTTCGTCGTGATTCTGTATGTCTATCAAAGTCAGAAAGTAAAGAGCCTTCAAAACCATCCAGAGCACCTCGAAGAAAGTCATTGAGATGCCCATTAAAGCAAGTAAGTGTTTTTAACATTTCAGCATATTACTTTGCTGTTATACATGTCTTGTTAAGCATCACTCATTTTCGACTCATAGGTTGAATATAATAATCTCTTTCTTACGGTTACGACCCAGCTATTCCTATTACTTAGTATTCTCGGACACTGATTCACTCGACAGGTCCCCAAATCAGAACACGGTTGAACAGGAAAGAGATTATATTCCAAATAACAAGGTTAGATGGAAGTAAGATGCACAATAGAGAAAACGTTAGTATATTCATAGTTTTTACATGAGAGTATTCTCCAACTATCAACTAGTGCTGATTGGATAAGAGTTAGCCAGTCAGCGTGCAGCAAACCAATCGTGCATTGAGCATGCTTTAATCCAGTCTATGTCCCACTAACAGATCCTATCTTCAATTTTCCTACCACATGATCCGTCTTGTTCCTTCCATTTCAACGGTTTAAAATACTTCTTTTGAAACATTACTAAATGTTGTCCAACAATCACTCTTCTGATTGGCTGTATTTTGAACACCGTGAATTGAATGTGAATATGCTTGTAGCAGTGATGAAGAGGTAGCTTACTGGTGTGAAATTCGAGTGTAAGGTCATTGATAATACGTTCAAACATCTGCTCACTTTGGCTTGGGTAGCTACATGTATCTCTAACTATCCCACAAGATTTTAGTTCAGGGGTCAGTTGATCACACAAATTTGTTCGTAGTCATCGAGTTTTGATTTTTGTCTTAGTTTACAGCATTTTGACGTTAAAGTCGTAATAGAAAATAGACTCACTAAGCTGGTTGTGATAATTTTTCGCTCTGAATTTGTTTCACTTACAACATCGGTGTAGTATCAAAAAAGGTTTGTCGAAGTAAAAATAAAACGATATTTACCCTTTGAAACTAGGACTTGGAACCCCACTAACAGTGCAAAATGTAATGGACCAAACCAATTTCCAGTCAAATCAAAAGTTCCAATTACTATGCCATTGTAAATATTGTTAATGCTTACTTTTGTGTGAAAGCAGTCTCCATTTATCTATTTTGGCTGATCAATGCATGTTGAAATTTTCAAATTTCTATGATTACCTTGTCTCCTTATATTTATTCTGTTCTGTTGGCCGAAGTGATTCGTCTCATGTTGGGTTAAGTTAGTTCCTGATATTTTTCATTCATTTTTGAGTACAGTGGGTGTTCAGAACTTTATAAGGTACCAACCAAATTTATCTGTTAATGTTCATTCTTTACTCCAATTACTTCTTATGTAACCGATTCGTGATTTATTGCTTAGCTTGAAATATTTTATTTTTAGTTAAATTCGCATGATAGTACATCCACTAATCCTACTCAACTAACTGTTCAAATGAAAAATGAGCTACCACACATGGATGTTAGTTCTATCAATACTATTTCATTTGGTAATCTGTCAATTTCATCACCAAACAAATCAGAAAATACTAAATTATCTCGTCCAAGTTCTTCATTTATTCCTGCATTTGTTTCAGATTTTTACCTCTCTAAAAGATATATTCCCCCTAAGCACAGAGGGTTAGCCACAGTAGTTGAAGATTCTGTTAAACGGAGTCAGCGACGTCCTAGATCGTACAAAAAGACCGAACTTTCTCCAATAAGACGACAAATATTTACAGGCCAAACTCTTGAGGAAGCTTGTGCCCCTACAGCTGCTGGTATTGCTCCGCTAGACCCAGAACTTGTGTTGTCAGCTACACGTAAGCGTGTTATCAGGCGTCAAAGGCTTGCGAAAAAGTTAGGGTTTCGTGGCATTAGTATATCCAAGCAGACTGAAGAGAACTTTGCTAAGTTTCTTTCACAATCAAATTTGAATTCTTCTCACAGTAGCTCAGCATCTATCTGAGATTAAATGCAATTGTCCTTCATATTAATCTCGTACTGCATATTGATACCTACGTCTTTCAATTAAATATCAAAATTCAGACCCTCCTTGTTTTATGTAAATCTTTTATTTATATGACAGATATTTCCACCAGTGTTCACATAGAATCTTTCATACATGGTTTGCAAAAGCATCGTAAGAACTTCATATTTCATCCCTTTTATCTTGCATATGGTATCGTGTTGTGTATACTTTTTGATTAAGTATGAAACCTGTTCAGATTTTTTACAACTTACGTTTACAAAACGAATTTGACTTTTAACTCTCTTTAGATTTTGTTACAGCCCAAAATGTGGGGGATTTTACAAAACATCATTTAATCTGAATATAATCTTTTTCGTTCTTTTGAAACAAATATCCTCATATTTTTCAAAAGCGTTTCTTTTGTAAAGTTGGGCTATGCCTCAAATACTGAGACACGTTGCATATCATTTTTATCAGTAAGCTTTTACCACAGATTTTAAATGTGACCATTAGCAAACTTTTAAATTAAAAAGAAATCAATAACGTGGTTGAGTTTTAAGATTTTTTCAATATTGCTTGATCGGCAGTTGGGTGCCCAGGTTTCTAAAAATTCCCGTCTTAATCGTACTTTCTTGTAACCTTACTAATTTTAAAGAATAAATCGTGTGTACCAACAGTCCTGGAAGCACGTTTCGTCTTATCTAGGACCTGTCAGCTGAACCGATTCTCATCTCAATGTTGATTATTTTGGGACTTGAACCCAGTGTCCTTTGTTTCAGACGCTAATATGTTATGCACTAAGGTACTGAGTCAAGATTGTCACTTACATGTGTGCCGACAAAGACCAGTCAAAATACAGTTTTGATCATCTATAAAGTTACTAACTTCTGTCTGAGCCATATTGGTAGATGCAAACAACTTGGGTGTGGTCCGGGCGACTATCGTAACCAGCGGTTGGAGGCTCTGGGTGGCATGGCTCAGAATCAATCACAGTGATACAGGTGCATACACTCTTCGTCTTCCCTTAAACTGTGAGATTAAAATTATTTATGCATTTCTTTCTACGAACTAATTATTTATTTGAACACAAATATTGGTACAAAGGGGCGCCGAATACACATGCGCTACACAAGTCACTCGAATCGGGTGTAGGCTGTGATACTACCCCGGTGCCCAAACCGAGGCAGGTGGTTTTTTCTAGGGGCCACACCCAGAGCCTTCGACTTAAAGGTCTGATCCAAAAAGCAATGGAGCAACGTCAGGAGATGCAGTCTCATGGTGGCCGGTGGCCAACAATTGGTTCATACGTCATTTGTTCCTTCGGGATCTTGGAGTCCATGAACACCATTGGTTTGGGACCAGGGTTTCCCAACTCCCCGAGGTGGATCCTCTGTGTCCACCAGCACGATTAAAGCGCAGGACATTCGCTTTCCGTCCTCTCAATTTCGTAAACAACACCGCCGCGAGATGGCAGTGAGTTGGACTTCCCTGGCAGTACCTGTATACGTGTGGCCATGGGAGAGCTGACTCCCCACCCTCGGACATACCAAGGCATTTAGGGGCCTGGACTAATTCTTTGTCCAGGTATCATATCCTTATATGTAATCTTTTTCTACATATTACTATCATAGGAGTATGATTTTGATGCTCATTGTGTTGTGCTAACAAGGTATGACAACGGACCGATACATATATATGCCTGGTCCTACGTTGTAGAAGACTGACTTGCTTGGATTGCTAAATAAGGTGCTCAGATGAGTTTGCACTTTGTCAGCGTCTTCACCAAACAAAACTGTATGATCTGCGTATTCTAGGTCAAAAAGTAAATCCCCTGGTAGATCACCCGACCGTAGCTGCTACCTTGACGCGGTGGTCGGGCTTGCCTATCATGATGACCCAACCGAGCTATATTGGTTGGAACATATGTTCCTGTAGGTTCTACCATGCCAGGCAGGTCGATTGGAGAACAGTAAGACTAAAAGCAGCAACTCAAGGTCTGAGGGTCAAAGTTCTGTCGCTGACTGTAGAGGGGTGTGACAACAGTAAGGTGTTCCCCTCGGAAAACCAGCATCTGCAGCGATGCTGCCTTCTCACAAGGAAAGAAGGGGTTAGAAAAGGTCGACCCTAAAAATGTCACACCTCACCTTACCTCACGGATTTCCGTCTCCGGCGGTAAGGCCCTTTGAAGAACGGAGCTAACACATTAGAAACCTTCCATGAAAAGGCCGTGCGCGACCGGCCTCGAGCAGTTGTCCCCTGGGCTCTGTGGTCACGCTCCCAGGTCGTTAAGGCCGACATTAATCCGACTTCTTTTTCAGGTTCCTCAAGAAATACCCTTCCACAGTGTGGGCAGCCGGGAAGTGACACCAGCCCTCATACCCGTAACCACACAAGACCAAGTTGGTCACATTCAAATCCTTCCTACACCTAATACCACTCTTATCTCCCCGACTAACCCGTCTCACGTCCTTTTATCAGCTCACACCACTAGGGCAAACGATTCGAGTACGCGGAACGTTATTCCTGGTCTCCTGAGACCACACTTTAAACTTCATGTTGGAGCTTATAACGTACGAACGCTGCGCCAAATAGGACAACAAGCTTCCTTAGCTAGGACTTTAGAGTACCGCGCCATCGATATGTGCTGCGTCTCCGAAACGCGCATACAGGATCCGAGTAGCGTCATTCATTTGACCTCACCATGCAAAAATAAAGAACCGACTCGATTCACACTTCGTGTATCTGGAAGCCCTGATTCTGCTTCCCGTGGCCTCGCCGGCGTAGGTATAGCATTGAGTCCTAGGGCAGAACTAGCTCTCTTAGAGTGGATCCCAGTAGACAGTCGTTTGTGCGCTGTCCGACTGAATGCAACAATGAGGATCCGAAAAGATAGGGACACTCGTCGTTGCCTCTTCGTCGTCTCAGCCTATTCTCCCACTGACTGCAGCTCAGATGATGTAAAAGATGAGTTTTACAGAAAGCTTTCGGACCTTCTCCGAAAAGCTAGGCGCTCTGATCTAGTAATAGTGGCTGGTGACTGTAATGCTCAAGTAGGTAAATTGAGGCCCCCAAATGCCCTGGTACGGCCGAGAGTGGGGAGAGTCCGCTCTCCCTCTCGAAATGCTCTCATATGGCCACGCGTATATAGCCTCTGCCAGGGAAGTCCTACTCATTGCCTTCTCGTGGCGGGGGTGTTGTTTACGAAAATGAGAGGACGAAAAGCGAATGTCCGGCGCTTTAACCGGATTCCAAATGGTGCACATGGGCTCCAGTACCCTGCGGGAACAAATGGCGTATGAACCAATTGTTGGTCACCGGCTTCCATGGGACTGCATCTCCTGACGATGCTCCACTGCCTTGTGGATCAGACCTTCAGGTCGAAGGCTCGGGGTGTGGCCCCCTAAGAAAACCACCTGCATCGGTTTGGGCACCCGGGCAGTATCACAGCCCTCACACATATCGAATGAGATTTGTGTGGCGCATGTGTATTTGGTGCCTCCTTGTACCAATGTCTGTGGTAAAATAAAATAAGGTAAATTGAGCGAAAGGGAAAGACACATAGGTGAATCTTATGATGCCGTGGCTCATGGAACAGATAATGGCGACCGTCTGTTGCAGCTATGCTCAGACAACCGCCTGTTTCTTGCAAATACTAGCTTTAAGCATAAGGAAAAACATCTTTTAACATGGCGACCCCCTAATTCGTCCCAACGTTGGACCCAAATAGATCACATCGCTATCAGCCACCGATGGAGGGGCCCGATAGAAAACTGTCGCTCGTTCTGGAGCACATGCTTATATTCAGATCATGCTCTAGTGCGAGCGCATATTTGTCTGCGTCTTGCTAGAAGTAGAAAAGATGCTGCAAGGAAACCTCTTAGGGCAGACTAGAGAAAACCAGGCCGGTTTTCGACCTGGACGTGGTTATATAGACCACATATTCACACTACGTCAGATTCTAGAACACAGACACACGTTCAGACGCCCCACAATCGTAGTATTTCTCGACCTTAAAGCAACATTCGACTCTGTCGATCGTAAGGTTCTATGGCAGTGTTTGTCACTGAAAGGAGTACTAAAGAAGTACATTAACCTTATAAAGGCTCTCTACTCGAACACAACTGGTCGAGTGAGAGCTTATGGCGAACTGTCATCAGAATTGATTACCTCAAGTGGTGTTCGTCAGGGCTGTCCACTCTCCCCATTCTTGTTCAACTTTGTGGTCGACGTACTTTTAGAGATAACACTCTCATCTAAATTTCCAGGGGTTGAACTTCTACCGGGAGGTTCACTTGTTGACTTAGAATATGCCGATGACATAGTTTTATTTGGTAAAGACGCTGACAAAATGCAGTCTTCTGACCACTCTAAGCAACAATGCAAGCATGTTCGGGATGCGATTCTCTCCCTCGAAATGCAAAATGTTGCTTCAGGATTAGGTTGCATCGACACCCGAACTAATGATAGGGAGTGAAGTAGTTGAGTGTGTCGACTGCTTCACTTATCTTGGAAGTCTCATCAGCCCTTGTGGTCTGGTTTGTGACGAAGTCTCAGCACGGATACAGAAGGCTCGACTAGCTTTTGCCAACTTGCGTCATTTATGGCGTAGGCGAGATATCCGTCTATCAACCAAAGGACGGGTTTACTGCGCAGCAGTTCGTTCCGTTCTACTTTATGGCAGTGAAACATGGCCGGTAAGAGTAGAGGATATTCGTAGGCTACTAGTATTCGATCATAGGTGTCTTCGAAAGATTGCTCGTATATCCTGGGACCATTGAGTAAGTAACACAGTTGTTAGGAAACGGGTACTAGGTAAGGACGGCAAATCAATTGATGAAGTAGTGAAACTTCATCAGTTGAGATGGCTGGGACACGTGTTACGTATGCCCAACGACCGACTGCCTCGACGTGCGATGTTCAGTGGTATAGGAGTAAGTTGGAAGAAAGCTAGGGGCGGCCAGACCAAAACATGGCACAAGTCCATGAAGTCAATGACAAGTGGAGTGAGTCATGTTGGTAGGTGCAGACTACCTGGTTGGGGACCGCGAGATGATAGCAACCGATGGTTAGAGACCCTGAATGACATGGCTCAAAATCGTTTGCAATGGCGCAGGTGCATCCACTCTCTGTGTTCTCCCAAATTCTAATCTTCTGAATTCTTCATATCCCTTTTTTCCTCTTTCCAAATTTATTTCACTGGATTATACTCCTTGAATAACATCTCCAAACCCTAATCTTCCCGATTACTGTTTATACTCTTATTACCTCTACCACTACGGGATTTGAATCGACAACTGCATCTCTGTGCTTATGTGGTGTGGCAACTCGAACTGATGTACGTACGTACGAAGTTCTACGTTGTTACTGACTGACTTCCTCTTTTGCCTCTCTCGTCGAGTGTCTCCATAGTCAACGATTTTACTGCACAAAACACTGTCCTAGGTCTACTGAAACCTAGCTCCAAACAACACATTGCAGCCTTCAACGTACGCACATTATGTCAACTTGGTCAGCAGGCTTCCTTGGCTAGAACCCCAGAATCTCGCACCATCGATGTATGCTGTGTCTCTGAAACACACATACAGAATCCTAGTGTGACCATCCACG